TGGAAAGTGGTATTCAAACTCTGAGTATTGAGGTCCCGGCATGGAAAGATTGGTCAGTCATGTTTGCAAACTTCAGGACACAGTGGATCCAACCCTGCTTTCAAACTGAGCTGTTTATGTCTTTTACTGTTGTGAAGGAGCAGAAAAACTCTTGTGTTTTGGAGACTTACTGAACAACTTCTAAATTCCCACACATTATCCTCATTGACAACAGTGACAATGGCAACACAAAGAATGCTGGTAAATCATTAGGGTATAATGAAACCAAAGAACAAACAGCAGAGCAGCCATGGGAGAGAAACCGCCATGTTTGTTCAAAGCCACAATTCTGTTCAATGTTAAGATTGGTTTGGAACTTTTGTAACGAAAACGTTCACTAGGGATTAATTTGCCTTTTCTTTCTCGTTGTTTGGCAGTCCCTGTCGGAGCTAGAGCACGCTATCCCAAAGACCCATTTGAGTTCAAGAAAACAGCTCCCAATTCTGGGCTTGTGACTGAGCCAGGTGAAAGAAGACTGGAACCCATCCCCTTTGAATAACTACAAAGGGTGTCTGTCTGCACTGCCCACACCCGTCCACAGTTACCTTAACATGCTGAGCTCACTTGACCAGAGACATGCTCTCCTGTGGTTTTCAGCATGCATTTAGCTTCTTGGGCAGCAAAATACCAAACACAAAAGCTATTAAAAACCAAGAAATAATAATTAAAACAACCCCAACCCCAAACTAGCAGCTTGCTCTAAACTTTCAAAGGAAGCCCTGTTAGCTAGATGCCTTTGTGTTCCGAACCACTTTGCATGACTCTTACTCTGAGTGATTCCAGTGTGAATATGACATTACTAATGACCTGCTAAGTGCGTGCAGATGTGAGTTGCTCCAGATGTGGTGATTAATAATGTAATGGAGATAGCCGGTTGACTCATGTTTATAGGTTGTTTGGCTTTTTATGACGTTTCCGAGTTTATTTGCTTTGAACTATTTTTTAACTCCCTGCCAGCAAATTCACCTTTAAGTCCCAGAAGGCTTCATCTCCTCAACTCTGTTGGAGAGACAAGGAAGAAAGAATGTGCCTCAGGCTGGGGTTGAGAGCTGGCTTCATCACGTGGGGGGATTGAAATATTCTAGAAAGCTGTATAATCTGTTGCCCCAGTTGCCAATAAAGGTAGTGAACCCTGGCAGTGTTTGCAACCTGGCTAAGGCAGGAAAGGAAAGAGGGTTCTTTAAAGATGATCTTGTAAAATATATGATCATCTTGAAATAAGCTCAGCATTCTGGCCAGGGTTTCTGGAAGACGTTGCCTTTTCTTTACTTGCAAACAGAATGCCGATGAGAAGTGGAGTAAAATGTTGTTACAGATGTTCGACTCTACATTAAGGCTGTTGGAATTACCACCACATCTTAAATCAATTCCCAGAACATTGTCTGGAGGTTATGTCATTGAAATAATGAATCCTCTTTAGTCAAGTATAAGCAAACATGTTAAAACATCATTGTAACTTTAAATTAAACACCAGCATAAACCAGGGGATCTGAAGCCTCATTAGACTTGCCTGACATTTTCCTAGTACCGAGTCTTCCCACACTGTAAAACTGTTAGATTCAGTGCCTATTAGACAGGCGAGCGCTGGGAAGTTACAACAGCACATTAAGTGTTATACTTAGGGATGTGCAAAAACAAGCCCTTGAATTTTATGAGTACTTGGAGACTGGATGGAGTTCAGCTCCTATAAAAATTCCATGTTGGATTCCTCAACTTGTTTGTGTTGTAAAGAAGCTGGTAAGTCAGGGTTCTGTCAAGGATCATATCTTCATGGGACTTCCACAGCAGGAAGACAAATGAAAATTCAAGAGAGGGAGAGGTGAAGTAATTAGCCAAGAAAGTCAGTTAAATATAGGCCAGTAAATGGGAGTTGTCATGAGGTAGCGGCCCATTACTTCAATGCATTTGTCTTTCATGAAAATAAGTAAGTTCGAGTCACCCTTTTAATTCTGTTTTTCTTCTTACGCAGTTCTAGAAGCCATGAAATGAAAACTCTATGTTATAGCTTAACTAAAAGTTTTCCTAGATTTGCTTTCTTTAAATATGCAGAAAAAGATTCCACAGAAAAGATAATAATAAAGCATGGTTTATATCCTACTTAGAAGAAGTCAGCACTGCTTCTCTTGTGGGATCGAAGCCATCTGTAATGGTCTCCATTACATAGCGCTCATATATTTAAGCTGGAGACATCCCCCAGCTCCTCAGGGAACAGATCTGCATTTCCAGGCGGTGAGCACAGGAGGAAACCTTTGAACATGAGTTTCATTTAAGAGAACAAATCCCAGTTTAAATGCAATATGATTATGATGGATGATCTTTCTGAGTGCAATGAAAATAAATAGTTTCCTTGCATAGAAAGAGGCATAACTTTACCACCAAAATGAGGTGTCTCCCTGAAGCTGGCTAACAACTATTAACTTGCAGGGGCTCCCATCTGAAGATTGCTCTAAGTAAGCAGAGTGTCCGGGCGGAAGGATACTGGGCACTGAAACAAAGCAGGGATGGGGTCAGGGGCAGGGGGCTAGGCTGGGAACTGTGAGGGTGAAGGATGGGGAATGGGTGTTCATTATTGACCCAATGTAAAGGGAGATACAAGAGTTAGGCAGGGTAATCACCAGAAATTCAGATTTTAACTCATCATAGAATTATAGCATAAAACCATGGTTTGTGCAACATCTGGTGGTCTTGATCTAGCTAGCCGTCATAGACTAAGTTAGATAAAAGACTTGTAAAAAATATTTTTCCTTATAACTATAAGGCTTGTATAGGGGGAGAAAATAGAACACGTATCCCTTAGACATACTCATATATGTGTGCAAACATACACGGTATTTACTCTGGGATGCTGTTGAGCTGATCTAGGTAGACCACTGGAACTACAATATGATTCCAAAGGTCCTTATTAAAAGGTGACGACCTTGCTCTTAGTACAAAACATTCCTCCCCATCCCAAGATAGGGTAGCACAAAAGTGTGGGTGCTTACGTACATGTGTGCCAGGGGAACACATATACACACAGCACACAGTCACGCTAGCTCAGTATTCCTACCTCTGCTATTCCCTGAATGGCAGAGCCCCTGCCCTTTGAAAGGAAGATGAATTCAGGTCAAGCTTAGAGTGCCTGCTTGCATATCAACTCCAAGATGCAGATCAACGCTAAGATGCATATCAACTCTAAGTGATTTTCCCCCCAATACCATTTATGTGGCTTGTATTATTTCCTTTAATCTTTTAAGTGCTGTTTAGTCTTTATGTGATTTGCTGTGGATACTCATTTCTGATAAGATGTGATATCCTCCCAGCCACACGGCTCCTGCCTGGAGTATCAAGTGAGTGAGGGGGGCCTTTCGAAAGGGGTGGGCAGGTGGGAGAACAAACGAGCTGGGCCTCTGCAGGTGCCCTCTCGCCATCATTGCTCCTGGTATCACTCTCACCTCGCGCCACCTTCTTGGCCCCTGAGGATTTAAGACAACCTCGGGCTGACAGTACAGTTGGGGAGTAAGGAAAATGTGATAGAGCAGGTTTGAAGGGTCATTAGGTTACTGTAATACCTCTGAAACCATCTGCCATAGCCCAATGAACGTAGGGGTTTCAGAGAAGTGTCTTAGAATGCACGTTCTCAAATGGGGCTTCCTGGATGATATTAAGTATGAATAGTAATAATAATAATAAGCTGAGATGACACTCTCTTCCACCTAAGACATGGGCACCATTAATGTACACCAAGCTGCTTTTGATGTCGTCACTGCTAATGTTTCTCTTCTTAGCTTTTAAGGTAACTGCTGTTTCAGAGGTGCTTCTGCCTAAGTCTGTCGCAGTCAACCCTAAGAATCGGAGGATCCTCTCTTCCTTTCTTGACATTACAGCTTTAGCTTGAAAAGTGGGGGTGGGGAAGAGACGACTAGAATCTTGCCGTGGATGCCCCTGGGTGACAGTCTGGGTACGCATCTACTAATTATCAAGCAACTCTCTTAAAAAAAAAAAAGAAAAGAAAAGGCATGATGTGGGCTAATACATCCACAAAGCTTATTAGTAGGTGTCTTTGGGCAAAAGCAGTGGAGTGTGCTGTGTTTGTGAGCGGAGGCTTCACGTTGCTTAGCGATCTGTGCAGTTCAGACATTTGGAAAGCTGCCTGTGGTTTCCAGTCTCAGATGCTGCCCTCCTGCACCCACTCTTCCCTTGCTGCATCATCAGAGATGTCATTCAATGGCAACCTTCTCCTCCCTGTGGGGGCTCTCCTCCAGCTGGCCTCCAAACCCCCAACCCCAGTGCTCCTGGCACTCCACAAAGGATTCCCTTTGCACAGCCTCTTGAGAAGAAGAGAGGAAGGAGCTGAGTTGGGCTGGGAATTCTTGAGCTGGCATTCCCCAGCATTCCCAGTCCTTAGGGCCTGAAATGTTGCTGTTGAGGCCTTGACTCCTTGCCTCTTTTGAAAGCTCCTTCTGTGGCATGCAAGGATTCAGAACCAGTTGGTTCATTTGGACAGGCACCAGACAGGCAGCCACGATGCCGCTATTTCAAATATCATCTGTGATTCTGGTTAGGAGAAAACCCATGTGATGACCCAGCAAAGCAACTTGCCCCAAATTAACTCTAAGAATAATGTTGAGTGCTTCTCTATTTTGTTTTGGGCTTGTTTTGGTTTTTGTTTGTTTTGTATTTTTCTACATGCAGATAAATGCTGATTTCTTTTGTTCTTACGGCAGGGATGTTTACAAACTGTTTTAGTCTGTTTAAAGTGCATGTTCAAACGCTGCAGTGTCAAGAGGGGGAGCTTTGGCCTCCCTCAGCTGGCCTCCTTGACTAACGCATTCAGTCTCCATCACCGGAGCCTGAAAAGGGACAGCCATGATTTACTAGTGAGTGACTGAGGCTTGAGTGTATGTCCTTTGATATCCTGCCTGTATTTCACAGTCTTCCCTCACACTGTTCATAATCTCATGAGCTGCCTGTATTTCCAGTTGAAGATGAGCAGCCGTCGACGCTGTCGCCCAAAAAAAAGCAACGGAATGGAGGCATGCGGAATTCGCCCAGCTCCTCGCCCAAGCTGATGAGGTAAGGAGAGGGACACAGGCGGGTCCCCCCTCTAGCAATTTGGTACCCCCACATCTCTCCCCTCCCCACCCCCACTCCAGTCCTGTGCCTGCCTCCCCTCCATCCCTAGCAAGAACGAGGCAGGGGGAGGGAGCGAGATCATTAGATGGCTTCTTAAAGGCTGGAGTATTTATTCTGTCAGCTTGTCAGCAGTTAATGATAGAGCTGAAAAAATTCTGTCATGAAAAACAGTTTGAAAAGCTGTTTGAAAAATACATAGGCTTTAAAGTCTTAGCTGTCACCGTGTCCTGTCTGTGTGTAGTTCCTAAACAGCAGTGGCACTAATGACGGTGGGACCCAATCAGAGGCGCTCGTGTGGTGAGCTTGCCTCCGGCAAGTCTCTTTCTGCTGGAGTCCCTCCGAGGACTGTTTTCTGTACTTAAGGCCATATGTGAGATGTATCATCACAATCAAAAATGAACCTGAAGATTACCTTCCTTTTATCCTGTCGATTGAAATCAAATTTCCATTAATTGATTTTGACTGATAAAAAAAGCGCCCAATAATCTGTGGACTTGCCAAAGCAAAGTTCAAAAGTAATCCAGTTCTGCACAGGCTAAAAGCAATATTAATTATGAAATACAGCGTGCTTGCTTCTCTGTCTCCATCATTCTTTCTCAAGACGAAGCTTCTTCTAGAAATTGGCAACTGGGACCCCATTTTTCCTCAGAATTCTACAGGTTCCTAATCTTGGTCAGTTCAGCTCTGTCTTTCTCTCTCTCTCCCCCACCTCTACCTTTCTGTGTCTTTTATTCATTTTCCAAAACCAGATTCATTGCCGCTGAGTCAGTTCCTTCTCCCAGTGGCCCCCGTGCTAACAGAGCACAAGGGCTCCACAGGGCTTTCTTTTCATGGGACCAGATGGCCAGGCCTTGCTTACTCACTGCTGTGTATGTTGTTCTGCAAGCCTGAGGTACCACCCAGCTTAGACAACCCCACATTCCCTCCCTTCGCTGTCTGATTTGCCACCCAGGGTTAAGGTGGTCACATGGAGACACTGCCCTTTGTGTGGCTATTATCCTCTTCTCATTGCCATTGGTCACTTCCTCTCCTTTGGTTATCACAAGAAAACAAGGATGCTTTTCCCACTCCCACTTCCCTCTCACACACATCAGCAGGTCCCCAGCCCTCCACATCCATCCTTCTGGGCTGTGAGCAGCACAGTCCTCCCTTCTGGATTTGAGGTTGCTGGTTCTCAATCATAGACTCGCCCATCCTACCCCTGCCTCCACTAGACCAACTCTTCTTGCTCACCATTTCTTGAAAAGTTTTCTCTGCCCTCCCCTTCACTCAGCCTTGCTTGGAGCTTGTTGATTTACATGCTTGTTTACAGTTTATGGGGAGGGATAAAATGCGCCAACTGCCAACCTCCTCATTTTTATGGCGCCAGTTGTCATGCTAGCGTTTATTTGCTATTTACTCACCTTTAGGTAATCGCCTTATCTAACACTAATAGTTTTATCCATTTAAAGTACAGAAAGGCTCGGGCACTCTGCTTTGCTTAAATTTAGAGACACAAATAAATAAGTAAAGAGACGCCTGAAAAATCTCCAACCTTTGGAGCCGAATTCCCTGTCCCTGTTTGCTATGTAAAGTACGGCTCGTTTCTTTGATGTTGAGTAATAATAATTCTGAGAAGTTATACTGTTTTCATATGCTTCAAAGCTGTGTCAGAGTTTTGCTGCTTAAGGGTCCTTCTTTATTCTGTTGGCTCTTGGGTACCAAGATGACAGGTCTTCTGTACGAGGTGCAGGCTTTTTTAAGTCGTAGCCTTCAGCAAAACATCAAATTACCAAATCCAGGCTAACATACTTCTACACAAATGCCTTCCTGTAGATATATTATACCACATATATTAAATACTTTAGTGTTACATGCTACATTTTATGTGCAATAGAAAGTGATGGTTTGAGGTAGCCTTGGGGGGACTTTTTTTCCACAAGCAGAAAAAGCTAGTGTATACCGTATCAAGCATGGTTTTTACAGGACTTTCTGCCCGAAGGCCTTTGTAAATAAGTAATGATCAACAGATTGGCTGTGGGTTTTTGAAAAGCATGCCTGTGTCAGTTTGCATGATGGGGGAGAATTTTCAAAGTGGATCCTGCTTTCATTGCCTGCCGGAGAGGGACTGAGGGAGGCAGGCATCCTTGGGCTGGAGCTGTCTGTTCTCTGGTACATCAGAATTGTTAAACGGGGGTCAGGCGGTGAGCTGAAACTTGCCAGCTACAGAAGTCGGCCTTCTCGTGTTGGTGCCTTTGGGCAGCTGTGGCCAGTGCTTCTGTTGCTGGGCACTTTTCTCCATCAGCCTACAGAGGTCATCATCCCACAGACTAGCCAGAAATCTGAGGCCCTTCTCTTTTATTCATGCCTTCCTCTGTCCAAGGTGCCCTTGACACTCTGCCTAACGGTGGTGGTGGTGGTGGTAGCTGCCACACTGATTCAGCGCGAGCCCATGCACAGCAGAGCGAAATGTGGCCCTGTACCGTGCCATCCTCCTAATCAGTTACCCATAGGATTGTGTGGGCTGCTGAATTTCATTGGCTGAATTTTGGACATTGATTGCCAGGCTTTTCTTCCTCATCCATCTTAGTCTGAAGCTTCACTAAACCTGTTTAGTTTCATATCAGTGCCCAAGTCTGCACAGGAAAGGGGTGTCGGCTGCATGTAAGGTTGAAATTGAACCCAAATCTCCTGTGTGGAAGACAAAAACCCCTCCAGGAAACCATTAATGCTTCATGCCCAATCTCTGCTTGCCTTCCCTTTCAGTGTGTGGGTGGAGAACCCATGGCCTTTTTGCATTTGAAACTGACCTGGCTAGTGAGCTTACCAGGACTGGCTTGTGCTAGAGCCTTCTTTTTGATGGCAGGAGACAGAGGGACTCATACTGCACCTCCCAGCTCCCTCCACCTCTTCATACACGTCCTTTCTATTCCACAGAAGATATGACTCCCAGGCCTAATTCTTTAGGTCTGGAACAATCTATAAAGGAAGCTAATGAGTTATTTGAGAGGAATTTTGGAAGTGAGTGTGTGGCCTGCCGTTTGAGCAGAATCAATCACAGCAGGTTTTAGTGGCCTATGGACAGTGACAGCAGCCCCTCCACGAGGCCTGAGCATTCAGGAAGGATGAGGACTGGCTTTAATTGACCACTGCAGCCTCTGCAGATAAAGCAGGCTCCTGCATGAGGATGCCTTCCAAATCACCTGCCCTCGTGAAATGCCACGGGGACTCTGACACTAATAGGCTTTGTAGCCCCTTTGTTCTCCTATCAGGCTTACCCTGTTTTTTAAGTGTCACTTAACTCTCCGTACAGTCATTAAGTGAACAGCCTCGTTTTGTGTGTCTGGATCCTGATGCAGTGTGTTTTTTAGTCTCCCTGACAGAAAACAACTCTCTCAGCCAGACGGAGCCAAATGGCTAGTGTCTGAGCCATGAGCTTGGGCACGTGTAATAATCACTTTTGGCACCACATCCACCAAGGAGTAATGTTTGTGAAGGTTCTCAGATCCGTCACCATCGACCTGCCTGTGATTGTCCGTCCTTCCCGGTCTCTTATCATCACATGGACATGCTCAAGGAGCCCCTCCGAGGTTTCTACGTGTGGGTCCCTATTGCTCAGTGTGTTCTAAGCTGGGGATTTCTGTTTTCTAAAGAGAGATGATAAGGATGGTATAGAATAGGACAGGGTTCAGATCTGCTGTTCATAGGCTCACCCTGATTCATACTCAACTCAACAGCACTTATCAACAACAAAGAGAGATGATGTGCCTTTCTTCTCTTTTAAGACCTTAGAGGCAGCAACTTTCTCTCTAAATATCCAAGCCAGTGCTTCTTCAGTGTGGGACTTTATAGACCACAGTGAAAAACCAGTGGAGACTTTTCCAGAAAGTCTCAGGCGTAGAAGGCAGTGTTTTGACCAGTTGTGTACAGACAGGTCCTAGAGGAATGAACCCCAATTCCAATCACTTCAGTTCATCTGTGACCACCTTTGAGTTATTGCATCCAAATTCTGATGATGAGAATATTTCTTTGCTATTATTTGCTATACAATAAATGCCTTAGCTCAAATACTATATCCTGAAAGGGAACTCAGGAAGGCCATGCATTTCAGCTGCCTGCTACTGCTATTCCTTTTATCAAATTAATGAATTATATTCCTATTCAGAAAATGTTTCATGAAATTTTACTTTATACAAGGAGAGCAGTGGTGGTTCATGATATAATTCTGATTCTCTCTGTGGTACATTTGATTGCTGGCTAGTGCATGTCATACCACAGTCCACCTACCAGTGAAGACTTTCATGTTGCTATGATGATGAACTTCCAGGCTAAGACACACTAGGAAGAAAAGTCTGAGTGTGCATATTAAAAAAATCAACCAGAGAAAGCTATTTGGACCAAAATAGTAGTCTGAATCTAATTGTATGTGGATTTATCATGTGTTGGGACCAACTCCAAGGGCACATACTGACAACAATGACAATTATACTCAAGATGGTAGGGAAGGTCTTGGAGGAATGTAAAGACAGGTGGATTAGACTAGGTTCTTGTTTTTAGATCTCTCACAGGAGATAGTCACACACAGCAAAAGACAACAAGAGGAACTTGGGGGTTCTAGATTGAACTGTGAGAACAGTACAATTTGTGATTGGCTCTGATTTTGGAGGCTGACATTGGTTTGTGAGGGAGATCTCATTCAGCCTAGCATTGAGTGATGATGCAAGCATTTTCCCTAAAGCATTACTTCTATTAATTAATTTAACTCTAACTATGATCCTATACTGACTTCCTAAGTAACATGCCTCTGGAAACTCTATGAATTTTGATAAATGTTGAGAGTTATAAAAAATCTTCAGGCCTTTTGTTCATAGAGTCACTATGAGTCATACTCTACTCAACTACAATCAACAACAAAAACAATGACTCTATACTAAGAAGCAATTGTCCAAGCAGAAAGTCAA